ACTACTTCATACACCAGAAAAAACTCCCATAGACAAGAACTTTTGCTGCTTCTCTGAATACTGTGAGACTGCCTTTGTTCCTCCTGCCCTTTGACAAACTGAGTTGTCCTTACCTGATATGAGAGACCAAACCTAATTTTTTTTTTAGCATCTAACCTTGACTAAAACCTGGCTCTTCTCTCAAATCCTCTGTAGTGAAGACCATGCCTTCTTTTTGTTTCATGTTTCTACACAGGAGTAAAGCTTAGTTTACTTTGGCTTCTTCTGCCACTTCTAAACCATTAACATGCCCTATTCTTACTTTCCTAATTGCAATTAGGTTGCAACTTTCTCACAATCCTTTGTTCATTGGAAACTCTAATACCTATATCATAGTTTGCATTTTACTGTCAATTACTGCCATAATAATTATCATAATAACCACATTGAATATTATGTCTCAGGCATTGTTAGGTCAGTGATTGTCTCATGATAGTTCTATAATTTATTTAGGATTACTTTATTATCTCCACTGAATAGAATAAGTAACTGAATGCCTCGTTGACTTTGTGGTGTGTGTATGAGGGGTGTTTATGTGCATGTGCATATGGGATTCAGAAGTTGACACTGGATGTCTTTATCTTTCTCTACCTTATATTATTTATTTACTTTTGAGACAGGGTCTCACTGTGTAGTTCTAGCTGGCCCAGAACTTGCTATGTAGACCAGGCTGGTCTTAAGCTCTTAGAGAGATTCACCTACCTCAGCCTCCCAAGTGCTGGTATTAAGGACATGTGCCACTATGCACTGCTCCATCTTATTTTTAAAAAATTATAGAGCATGTGTGTTTATTTAAAAATTATAGATCATTATATGTTTGTGTGTGTGTTTTCATGTGTGTGCATGTGCATGCATGTGTGTGTGTTCATAAACAGTGTATGGCATACATCTAGAGATAAGAGAACCTTGTAGTAATCAATTCTTTCCTTCCATCATGTGGGTTTTGGAGGTTAAACTCAGGTCTGGTGGCAAACACTTTTACCAGCTGATCCATCATACTGCCTCTTCCTCACCTTAGTTTTTGAGACAGTGTTGCCCACTGAATCTAGAGTTCCATTGCTTTTGCTAGACTGGCTGTCCAGTGAATCTAAAAGATCTCTGCTCTACAACACTGAAGTTACAGTTGTACATGTCCACACTTGGCTTTCATGTGGGTGTTGGGGATCCTAACTCCTGTTTTCATTGATTCTTTGGACTGTTTTCTGTGTTTCTATTTTGTTGATTTCAGCCCTCAGTTTTATTATTTCCAGTCTTCTACTTCTCCTGGGCGCGTCTGCTTCTTTTTTTTCTAGAGCTTTCAGGTGTGTTTTTAAGTCCCCAATGTATGCATTCTCCGTTTTCTTTAAGTGGGCACTTAGTGCTATGAACTTTCCTCTTAGCACTGCTTTCATTGTGTCCCATAGGTTTGAGTATGTTGTCCCTTTATTTTCATTAAATTCAAGGAAGACTTTAATTTCTTTCTTGATTTCTTCCTTGACCCAGGTGTGGTTCAGTAGTTGACTGTTCAGTTTCCATGAGTTTGTCGGTTTTTTGGGGGCAGCGTGGTTGTTGCCTTCTAACTTTAATCCGTGATGATCTGATAAGACACAGGTGGACACTGATATTTTTTTGTATCTGTGGAGGTTTCCTTTGTTTCCGAGTATGTGGTCAATTTTTGAGAAGGTTCCATGAGCTGCAGAGAAGAAGGTATATTCTTTCCTATTTGGGTGGAATGTTCTATAGATGTCTGTTAAGTCCATTTGCTTCATTACCTCCAATAATTCTCTTAATTCTCTATTCGATTTCTGTCTGATTGACCTGTCCCTTGGAGAGAGAGGTGTGTTGAAGTCTCCTACTACTAGTGTGTGTGGTTTGATGTCTGCCTTGAGTTCTAGTAATATTTCTTTTACATAAGTAGGTGCTTTTATATTGAAGGCGTATATATTCAGGATTGAGACGTCCTCCTGATGAATTTTTCCTGTTATGAGTATAAAGTGACCGTCTCGGTCTCTTCTGATTGATTTTAGTTTGAAGTCAGTTTTGTTAGAAATTAGTATGGCCACACCTGCTTTTTTCTTAGGACCATTTGCTTGAAACACCTTTTCCCAACCCTTTACTCTGAGTAGGTGCCTGTCTTTGTGGTTGAGATGTGTTTCTTGCAAACAGCAGAATGTTGGATCCTGTTTTCGTATCCAATCTTTTAGCCTGTGCCTTTTTATAGGTGAATTGAGCCCATTAATATTAAGTGATATTAATGACCAGTGGTTGTTTACTCCGGTTATTCTTATTGCTTTTGGTAGTAGAGATTGTGTGTCTCCTTTCTTTGAGATGTGCTCGTGAAGGGTCATTAGATGCCTGGGTTATTGTAGGCAGTGTTGGCAGTGTTGGATTCCTTGAGTTGCGCTTTTCCTTCTATTACTTTCTGTAGGGCTGGATTTGTGGCTACGTATTGTTTAAATTTGTTCTTATCCTTGTTTTCTCCGTTGATAGTGAACGATAGCTTGGCTGGGTATAGTAGTTTGGGTTTGCATCCATGGTCTCTTAGCTTCTGCAGAACCTCTATCCAGGACCTTCTGGCTTTCATAGTTTCCATCGAGAAGTCAGGTGTAAGTCTGATCGGTTTACCTTTATAAGTTACTTGCCCTTTTTCTTTTGCAGCTCTTAATATTCTTTCTTTAACCTGTATATTTTGTGTTTTGATTATTATATGGCGAGGAGATGTTTTTCTTTGATCCAGTCTGTTTGGTGTTCTGTATGCTTCTTGAATATTTAAATGAATATCTTTCTTTAAGTTGGGAAAGTTTTCTTCCATAATTTTGTTGAAAATATTTTCTGAGCCTTTGAGCTGTGACTCTTCTCCTTCTTCTATTCCTATTATTCTTAGGTTTGGTTTTTTTTATTGTGTCCCATAGTTCCTGAATGTTTTGTGTTGAGAATTTGTTGGCTTTGCTGTTTTCTTTGATCTGTTCGTTTATTTTCTCTATGGTGTCCTCAGCATCTGAGAGTCTTTCTTCTAGCTCTTGTATTCTATTGATTATGCTTGTTTCTGTAGACTCTGCTCGTTGGCCTAGATTTTCCATATCCAGCTGGTCCTCAGTTTGTATTTTCTTCTTTGCCTTCATTTCAGTTTTCAATTCTTGAACTGTTTCCATTACCTGTTTGATGGTTTTTTCTTGGTTTCCCAGGGTATCATGTACGTATTTACTCATTTCTTCAAACTTTTTGTTATACTTCTCATCCATTTCTATAAGGGCATTTTTTACATGTTGTTTAAGGGACTCTATTATCTTCATAAAGTCGATTTTTTCCACTTCTTCTGTGTTAGGTTGTTCAAATACTTCTGTTGTAAGATCATTGGGTTCTGATATTTTCATGTTGTTTTTCGGATTATTGGGTGAGTTCTTGCCTTGGCGCCTGCCCATCTCCTCCTATTGATCCTATCCAATGGATCCTTTAGAAACCGGATCAGGTTTCCCTGCTGGCCAAGGGCTCCGCTTACAAAATGCCCTCACTCTCTTTCGTGGTTCCTGCTGCAGGCCAAGAACCCTCTCACCCCTCCGAAGGATCTTCAGGACAGGACCAGGCTCCCCTTGTGCCAGTGACCTGGCCAACCAAAGGCCTACCTCTTTGATTCAATTGTAGTAGGGCGATCTGCTCTCCTTATTGCACGCCTGTCCCAGCCGCTTGGGTCTTGCCGCCGCTCCACCGCGTCTGGCGCCACCGCCGCTGCGCCTCTGTGCGTCTGGCGCCGCTGCCGCCGCTGCGCCTCTGTGCCTCTGGCGCCGCCGTCGCTGCGCCTCTGTCCTAACTCCTGTTTTCATGCTTCTGCTACAAGTGCTTTGTCTACTGAGCTATGTCTCAAGTCCAGGAACTTCATGTTTTGTAAGGTAGCACCAGGGTCACCCAGTTAATAAGCATAGACCTAAAATTTTAGTCCAGATATGCTTTAACTTGGAAGCTTCCCTGTCTTTTTAACATCATTTTCTAAAGCGTGTTCCATATGATTGAAGTCTAGAGTTATTAATAGCTGTCAGGTGACATAAGTTCTGTGGCCAAAGAAATTTTAGAAACACTGAGTTCATTAGAACGTGACACTGAACAGATTGCTCTTGGGAGGCAGAGTTGAACCCATTCTTCACAGAATTTGGATACACTTAGCCCTAAGACTCTTTAAACAGAGACTTTCATAATGTACAGTAATTTTGCTCAATACTTACTTGGTAATGAAACTTTATCTTTCAGAAGTGTTTAATTGGACTTATTTTTCAAGGAAAATTTCAAGGAACATTTATAATTGCACCTCTCAAGGTTATTAGTGAGCTCCCAGCTAAACACAAAGGCAAATGCTGTCCCGTCTTTATCTTACTGCACCCTGCCTGCTGTATTTGATACTCTGAGCACATGCTCCTCTTTGACTTATTAGAACCATCTTCAACTTTCTTTTCTGACCTCACTGCAATCTACTTTGTCTGGTTTCTCTTTTCACATCTTAAATGATAGTCTTTCTGGGACTCTATACTCAATCTTTTTTTTTTCATATAGCAGTATTCATCCTTCCTATGAAACCCCATTTATTGTGCCAAGAGCCATATATATATATATATATATATATATATATATATATATATATATATATTCTTCCCTTTCATGTATCTATAGCACATATTTCTCCCCATGTCATATTTCCAACTGCTTCTTAGAATGTCACTAGTCATATCAGCACCCTAGATTCAGCACTTCCTAATGGAGATGTCACTTCTTACTCAACAACCTATTTTACATGTTAGTTTTGATTCCCATGCTCCCCAAATCAATTTTGAACCCATAAGATAAGGCTGGGTCCTTGATAAGTAATAGAAAGCAAAGCCATTCTTCCTATGAATGGAAGAATTAGAAGCAGGAATTTCACTTATTTCCAAAACAAGAGGAGGACACAACATCCTTGCACAAGATGCCTTGTACACCAGAGAGGGGCTTGTATATGCTTTATGCAGCAGCAATATCATAGCCAGTGATTTTTATCTGAGGTATGACTATTGCTAATTGAAAAATTTCCCCAGGAGAGACTGCCTTTGATGCAGTTAATGAAAAAGTATAGGAAGGATAGTTTTCCTAAACTCTGGGATGTAAATAGAGACTGCTAGTTTATTTCCCGACCATCCAGACCCAAATAATCACAGAGAAAGTATATTAACTACAACATTCTTTGACCTATTAGCTCAGGCTCTTATTAACTCATATCTTAAATTAACCCATTTTTATTAATCTATGTATCACCTGGATGCTATGGCCTACTGATAAGGTTCCAGTGGCATCTTTCTCCTTCAGCAACTACATAGTGTCTCCTTGACTCCACCTACTCTCTCTCTTTATCTCTTCCAGCCTGGTTATAGTCTGCCCTGCCATAGGCCAAAGAAGCTTTATTCATTAACCAATAAGAACAACACATATACAGAAGGACATCCCACATCACTGGGAATTATGAAGAATAGAGTCACTAAAAAGAGATCATAGTTATATTTTCCCACAGACATTTTGGCCAAACAATTTAAACATACACACACACACACACACACACACACTCTCTCTCTTCATGAGAGCAAAGAGTTGAGGTAATGGAAGTTAAGATGGGTAGCCATGGTCAGAGAAAATTCTGAAGTATCAGATTATAAAAGTGTTTTCCTAGCCAGGCATGGTGGCACACACCTTTAGTCTCAGCACTGAAGAGGCATAGAATGTGAATCTCTGAGTTTGAGGCCAGGCTAGTCTACAAAGGGAGTTCCGGGACAGCCAGGGGTATTACATAGAAAAACCGTGTCTTGAAAAACAAAAAGTGTTTCCTAGTGCTACTATGTTTAAGAAGTAGGGTTATCCCAGTTTTAAATCTGATGCCCTTTTCTGTCCTCTGTGGACATTTCATACATGTGGTGTATATACATACATTTTGGAAAAGAACCCATACATGTAAAATCAAATAAAAAATGTTTTAAAGAACAGTAGGAGCTAGGCAGTGGTGGCAGTTGTCTTTAATCCCAGCACTTGGGATGTAGAGGCAAGGTAGAGTTCGAGGTGAGTTCAAGGCCAGCCTGGTCTACAGCGATAGTTCTAGGACAGCCAGAGCTACACAGAGAAACCCTGTCTCAAAAAACCAAAAAGAGAATAAAAGGGACTAGGGTATAGCTCAGCACTAGAACTCTTACCTGTCAAGGCCTTGAGTTCAATTCTCAGCACCTCATACAGGTACTAATTAAAGATATACCTATTGAAAAGAAAGATATCACATAGATTTATTTGTGAAGTACTTCTCATTAAACAAAGAAAACAAGGAATAGGAGTAATCTATGCTATCTGCTATCTGTGTAGTGATTACCTCTGGGGAAGAGAATTGGCAATAATTAGATATGAGTACAAGAAACCTTTGGAGTTTTGTGGGTACTATTTCTTAATCTGGATTCTTTGCCAAGGTGAACATACACTTTTGACTATTGTAGTTTTATACAAATATTCAGTTCAATAAAGAACTCTTTAAAAAGCTTAAGTGTGCTGTGCAGTGATGGTGCATGCTTTTAATCTCAGCACTCAAATCTCTGTAAGTTCAAGGCCAGACTGTCTACCGAGTGAGTCCCAGGACAGCCAGGGTTATTACACAGGGAAACCCTGTCTTGGGGGGAAAAAAGCTAAGTGAAAATTAGCATTGAGATACAAAATAGAGTCTATCTTTATATTCTGATTAAACATCAAACTAACAGATATCAGTGGATGGGTAAGTAAAATTTTTCCTCAAAATCTTTTTTCATTGCATTTCAGTGTCAACTTTATAGCCTGGCATCCACGACCGCCATGACTTGATTCAGCATCCTTTTTCAACCATATGGATAGAATAGCTTAGGCCTTGGATTCCCCTAGACCCATAGTTTAAACAGCTTTATCACTTCTTGCTTATGTAACTTTTGACTTAGGCAAGTCACGCAGCCTTTTAGAAACTTAGTTTTCTTCCCCTTTGAAAGAATATCATACCTGCTGACTAATTGCATATGGAATAAAACCTAGCATATTATTAACACCAAATAAATGTTAGTTTCATTTTCTTTTTAACAACATGACTTTTTTCTTCTGTTAATCCCATTTTTCTACCTTGAGTGCCTATTCTCTCAAATTTCCATAGTCAAATAATAACCACACTTAAAAATTACTCTAGAAATTCTAAGAATTATTTCCCCCTTAAATTCTTTTTTTTTCTTTTTGCTCTTCTCTTCTCCTTTTTTTCTAGACAGGGTTTCTCTTCACTGTCCTGGATCTCACTCTGTAGACCAGGCTGGCCTAGAACTCATAGGGATCCACCTACCTCTGCCTCCGAATGCTGGAATTAAAGGCATGTGCTGCCAACACATGGCTAAATTCGTTTATATTTTAACTGCTTCTTGTGATACATTTTAGTCTCTCACTATAGTGTTTAGGAGTTGCCGAAGGCTGCCTTCTCATTGAAGACCCAAAGAGCATCGGCATTCTTTCTAAGCAGGCTGTTGTGAGAAGCAGAGCCCACTCAGTTCAGTAAACTAGTGCATGAAAAGGCAGGCTGAAAAAGCTATTTTGGCCCTTTGACATTCATTTTTGTACCAAGAAAAGTTCAGATGTCTAATCAAGCATGTGGAGTGAGGGTGTCAAGTTGTAGACTGTTTGACCCATCTTTTGCATTGGTCTTCTGTTAAAAAGGCCTGTTTCAAAAATAACTTTTCTTGTGCACTTGGAATTTACAAAGTGATGCTTGTGTGATACTTATAGTGAGTGTGTGATGGTCATTATAATGAAGCAGGTTAACACATAGAGCAGAGCCTCACATATTATAAGCATTCGATAAACATCTGTTATTGACATGGTCCTTTTTGTAACAAGAGAAGCTAAAATGTACATATTCAACAAAAATCTTTAACATAATTTTATTTACTGTATTCCTCATTTTATACATTAAATTTCTAGACCTATTTGTCACATATATATATATACACTATTTTATCTTATTTTTGTAACTTTTATTACATTTTAAAAGTTTATTTAGTATGTGTGGTCATTCATGTATGTGCCTGTATGTATGTGTGCGGGTCAGAGAACAGCTTGCATAGGTTCTGTCTTGTCATGTAGATCTTGAAGATCAAATTCAGGTCATTAGGCTTGGCAACAAGTGTCCTTACCCATGGAGTAGTTTAACCAGCCCTATGTTGTTTTATATTTTTTGGCCTATATTTCCTCATTTTCCCCACCCATCACTATTTTCCCTATCTCTATTTTTGTTTATCTTTATTATGTTGCTGAATATTTCTTTTAACTGTCTCTTCTGTTTTCCAGGTATAGTTCTGTGTTCAAGTATATTTTTAAATTTTGAGATTATAATATAGTTATATCATTTCCCTTTTCCTTCCTCCCTCCAGACCCTCCCATATATTCCTCCTTACTCTCTTTCAAATCAATGGTTTCTTTTTTTTTTATTAATTATTGTTACACACACACACATATGGGAGTGCGCACATGCATGCTCAGCTACTTAAACACAACCTGCTCGGACTCTATACTGTTACTTGTATATATATATTTTCAGGTCTGACCATTTGGTGTTGGATAACCAATTGGTGTGCTCTTCCCTGAGAAAGACTGTTTCTCCTGCTCTAAATATTTCTTAGTGTCCTGTAGGGTTTTTTTTGGTAGGGTTGAAGCCTCCTGGACTTTCCCCTGGCCCCCTTAAAGGTAACGTGTTTATTGTCATTGTCCTAGTTCAGCTCCTTCTCCCTGGAGAGAGAAGTCATGTTAAGGCAGTCATGTTCGTGAGAGTTTATGGGTATAGCCTCTAATATTTTTTGGAGACACAGTCTCACGGAAAAATTCCTGTTCTTCTGGCTTTTACAATCTTGCCCTCTCTGCTGTGATCCCTAATCTTTAGGGGTGTGAGTTGTACTGTAGTTGTAGTAATTGAAACTGGGCTGTACAACTCTGTATTTTGATTGGTTGTAGTTTTCTTTATTTGTGTCTGTTTCCAAAGGGAAGTGTGTTTAAGTCTTAAATTTTATTTATCCCATCATGTATGTTTGTATGAATGCTTATACATGTATATACAAACACTACATTTTTATTCATCTATTAACAGATGCAAGTCTTCTGGCTTATCAAGCTAAGAAGTCAGTCATGACCATAAATAATTTATTGCAAGAGTAATACTTGTAGTGAAAATAGTTAGCCTTGGGCTATAAAGTAGCAAATAAGCCTGATGAGTTAGGCGGTTAGAAAAGTCCTATCAGAGGAACTCCTAGAGAATATTAAACTAGCAGTTATTTTTTAAGTACCAGAAAAATAAAAAAAAATGAGCTTAGAGAGATGAAATCAAGGGTAAACCTGCATCCTGTGTGTATGTTTGTCATAATGGAGATCCATAGCTTCTTATACATGCCACTAACCATCAGTTTTAAAAGTGGATACATCTTTTGGGGTGATGGTGGCACATATCTTTAATCCCAGCATTGGGAAGTAGAGGCAAGTGGATCTCTGTGAGTTCAAGGCCAGCCTAATCTATAGCAAAAGTTTTAGGACAGCTAGGGTTAAACAGAGAAACATTGTCTCAAAACAAAACAAAATCAAACAAACAAGAAGGAAATATTCTAAAGTCCAGCTATAGTTTAAACAATAATAAAACTGTTGATAGTACTATTATTAGTGTTACTGCTGCTGCTGCTGCTACTGCTAATACTACTGTTTGCAGTGCTGGGGATTAAACTTAGAACCTCTCACATGCTAAGCAAATGCTCTATCACTGAGTTATATCCCCACCCTTTTCTGTCTCTTCCCTTTTCCTCCTCCTCCTCCTCCTCCTCCTCCTCCTCCTCCTCCTCTTCCTCTTCTTCCTTCTCCTCCTCCTCCCCCTCCTCCTCCTCTTCCTCCTTATCATCATTACCCCTACCCCTTCTCTTTCCCCTTCTCGTTCCTTTCATCTTCCTTTTCAAACAGGTTCTCATTCCCAGTCTGTCTGGAAACCCGCTGAATAGACTGAGCCAACCTCAAACTTGTAGCAATCCTCCTGCCTCAGCCTCCCAAGTGCTGGGATCATATGCCACCACATGCAGCTAGGGGATGGA